AAAATTTTTTTGGATATCAACGAGGATATATATCCATATTTGAGTTTTGACTAATAGTCACGATTATGGATAAATCGTATGATTCTGGAAATGTTAATTTTCAGACTAACTCGGGCTATGGGGAAGTAGTTTGCCAGTATTTCAGACCGAACTCCGTTTTGCTGGCATCCGACGTGCTTGCGCCTGCGGGCTTTTCGCCTTGCGACGCCTTCAACAGTAGGGCTGTGTACTCGTAGGTTAGCGAATGCTTCCTTGTTTGCACTCGCCTTCCTTATAGGCGATGTGATCATTGGCGGGACCACTTTCGATGGTTCGTCTTCTGGGCTGAGATTTGTAGCATCATCTTAATCTCGATCATGGAAAGCCAATGGAGAACTGCTCGATCCTTCCTGCAGCACAAAGCAACCTTCTGAAAACATAGCGTGCTATTTCCAGTAAGAGCACGGGTGGTTGCAGTTGCCGCTGTTTACGCATGTAGATTCTTATCACCGGACTCTTTTTAGTCTTGGAAGTTGGTAAAACTCCAGAGCAAGCCTAATACCCTAAGCACCCCAACGCCCGAAGGTCCCAGCATGCTATAAGCGCCAGACGCCTAAACCCGCTTGAGCCCAAAAAAACTTAACCAGAAGCCCCCAACTCCACCGACCTACGACTGACAACCGTCTCAACCCCTGAACCATAGAAACCCTACTTCCTGTGAGGGTAGTTCTCTAAATTTGGGTCCTTGTTTAGGTCCCAAATATAGTACGGCGCGCTTGTAAATTATACAAGTAAAAGGACCAAAAGGGACCCTAATTTAGAAAACTCCCTATGAGCTCTCCACCTGAAAGGTATTTTGCCCCAGGCACAGATGCAGCGACAGCCTTGGGAGCGTGCCTTCAACTCCAGGCATGCGTGAACATCTTTCTTCTCGAGCTAGAGCGATCTGCACGGTTTAATGCATTTAGCACGTAGGCTGTTGCTCTAAGATTTTCGCAGTAAGATAGTAACCCTCGCTACAGGCAAGTGAGCTGCTCGTGGGGTGTTATTTTACGATGACTTTGCTGTTTGCTTTTGCGAAGAGGGAGCGGGCGGTGCCACGGATTTAGGGGTTCGTAGAGGTTACTTAAGGTGTTGAAGGAACTGCATGGATATGCTTCCCTGCTCTCCCAAACCCCCTACTGATAAGGGTATGGGTGGGTTGAGCAAATGATAACCCTTAGCATCATAATCGCCCAGAAGAGCCTTAAAACTGTGAGTCCTTTGAGGGTATGTAAGGGCAAGGTTAAAGATAAGGGGTTTATAAGGGTTTGGGCAGTGAAGACTCCTGGTGAGGACTCGAACGGAAGGTGGACGGGACCGCGACTGCTTCAACCGAGAGGATACCAACTGAAAAACATGGTGATCTACCTGCCTCCGAAGCCGCTTATCTCAGCTTGCCAGGTTTGCGGGCGGAATGTCTATATCTATAATATCCGTATGTGTATACATATTATATATACACACACACACTGTCTCTCTCTCTCGGGACATGTTTTCGATTTGGACTGTATTGAAATCAGGCTTGGCGTGGTCGCCAACGGCTGGACAGCTGTTTCCTAAAAAGGTGCACGCGTTCATGAGCTGCGTTGTGCCATACCCAAACAGCCAAACAGAATCATGTGCACCCCCCGTCTCAGCATGTCCATGAGTGGAAAAGCTGAGGAAAGCCATCCAGATGCCGATAGTGGGAGAAGTCCTGGATGTTGGCCGCTTTGGGGGCCTGGTGGTGCGAATTGGGGGCCAGTCTCCCTCGTCCACGGAAGTCCTCCTTCCTGTGTGCGAGCGACCTTCCGAGACGGCTCCGAGCCCACGGCGTTTCGTCCGTTTCACTCTAGAGCCGCAGGAGCTTTCCACCGGGGCCATCTCCTGGGTGGGGCCCTACGAACCCCTGCAGCCCTCCCCTCCCTCCCTTCAGGAGAAGCTTCACACTGAGCCTTGCGAAGTGATCGTGAGGCGCAGTTCGAAGGGCCCCTCCACCGTCAAGAGCCACGTTCTTTACCAAGACCGGTGTCCACTTCGGAGGCCTCTGATCTATCAGCACTCCCTGGTCCCTTCTCTCACGGACGCCCCGCGCCGGACGCAGAAGCCCAAGCCACGAGGACCCAAAAGGCGGGCCTTCCGCCCCAAGCTCCCCAGCAGGCCACCGGAAAGGCCTCAGTCTCAAGGCTTGGAAGAAAGGAAGGAGCTCCCAGAAGAGGAGCTGAGTGGGGCTTTTAGAGAGCTTTTGGGAAATTTAGGGTTTAGGGTTCAGGTGGGCTGAAAACGGTGGGTTGGGAGAGCCGGGAGAGCTGTCATGGCTTTGGGTTCTAGAAGACCGGGCTCCTAGAACCGGGTTCCCCGAAACCGGGAGAGATCTGACAACAGAAAGGGGCAGCGATGAACAAAAGCACCTTAACCCCAAAGACCCTTTGCCACATACTCTAAAGACAGCGAAGAAGAGGTGCTAAGTACAGACTTCTCCGGGGTCCTTGTTACGGAATGTGAGTTAATTCAGCTAGTTTGCCATAGTACCTATAATATCACCGTGCACTATACGGTAGCTTGCATGAAAGTATCAGCCAGGACGGCGAGGAGCAGAAGGCCTTGGCGCAGACCGCCGGCGATTTCTTCAGGCCCCACCTCCTGCATTCTCGTAAGTGGGTAGTTTTCTAAATTAGGGTCTCTTTTTAGGTCCCCAATATCATGACAAAGTTTTCTAAATTAGGGCACTATTTTGAGAACTACTCAAGTGATGTGTTTGAGAAGGCATGCAAACCCCCTTGCTTCGCACTCATGTGCGAATGGTCTTGAATGACGTACGATCACTACTACTTACTACTATTTTTCCTGTTGTTATGATTATCACATGTGTTTTGTTTTGTTGTTTTTATCACTTCCTTTTTTATCACTGACTGAGTATTATTGACATTAAATAACCCTGTGTCCTTGGGAGTCCGCATCGTGCTCACAATTTGTTCCTAAGTGATATCCTCACATAGAAGCCCTACTGCTTCATAGAATTATCTGCTAGTAGGTACTTGGGAGACTTGGAGAGGGCAACCTGCAGAACCCATTATTCCAAGTCCTGATAGGCACATGACAAAATAAATGAATATAAAAAAGTATATATATATATACTTATACTTGCTATTTGTTGTAGTTATGTATGTACATATGTATGTATGTATGTATGTATGTATGTATGTATGTATGTATGTATGCATGTGTGCGTGTGTGTATGTATGT